ACACACACACACACAACAACACACACACACACACACACACACACACACACACACACACACACACACAACACACACACAACACACACCCACACACACAACAACACACACACATGAACACCTGAATCTAACTGTAATGTAAGTTAAAGGGGACCTATCATGCAAAATGCACTTGTGTATGTCTTTCTCTACAGAATATGTGTCCCCGGTGTTCCAGGGAACTCACCAAGTGTCAGAAAACACAACCCTCTCTATTTTCCTCCATACCCAAATCTCTAAAAAAAGGGCTGCAACGGATCTGATAAAAACTGATCCAGATTTGAACACTGTCTGACGTCAGGACGGTGGCGCTACGGCTATTGGGCCAACTCCACCAATCAGGAGGAGACAGCCACGGCCATTGCCGTTCGAAAGCGCTGGAGACGCTGTAGTACATATGCCAGGCCTGTAGGTGGTGCTGTTCTCACTGAATCTGCCCTTGCTAAAATAGATCTAAAAAATGTCAAATTGAGCGAAATGAGGCATGGCTAAAATGCATGATCTGTTTGGTATTTTGAAAAAAAAAAAAGTATAAATATGCCTTATATAGGTATGGTCCTACACTATATTATTAAAATATAGCATGATAGGTCCACTTTAAGAAGAACATTTAAGAATATTTAGCATAAAACATGAATGTAAATATGTTTGTTTTTAAAGTCTCTTTCTGTTCTGAAGACATCTTGAAGGTTTGTGGTTTTAACATAAATGTTTATTTTTTGTATTTTATTTTCTAATTAATTTCATTGTTTTAATTTAGAATTTTAACTCTTTTTGTATTTATTTATTTTTTAAATATTTATCGTTTAATTTTTTTATTTCAGTTTTTAAGTCTTTTTTAATAAATGTTCCAAATATTAGTTTTTTAAATAATAAATGCATCAGTCTAATTAACAATCATTAATGATTTGAAACAATAGTTTTTTACATTTGGCAGTATTTTCTTCTGTATATATATATATATATATTAGGGCTGTCAAGTTAACGCGTTAATAACGCGTTAACGCAAAAAAAAATTAACGCCACTAATTATTTTAACGCGATTAACGCATGTGTATTTTTTGTCCTCGGCCGCCGTAGTTTCAGAGCGCATCGAGTGTAAAATACCATCGACAAGCTGATGCTGACAGCCCCGCTCCTGCTGCCCGCTTGTGGCAGACCACACTTCCACGCTCACTGGCAGGCCCGGACTGGCCATCGGGAGGACCGGGAGGGAGTGTGTTGTTAGCATCTGGTGCTAGCTAGCTGCGCTAACGGATATAAGGAGCTGTTTCAATGACATTTCGCCGACAACTGCGCCGAGCACTTGACTTGATGCAGGTAGCCAGACAGTGGGACATTGTACGAAAAGTCAGCACACTCAGCACGGATAGTACGCGCAACATGATTGCAGCGTCCAGGCAGCTCCCATTCGAGCATATATGCCTTGAGCTAAACATAGCTCCAACGATCCATCACAGTGTCTCCACACACACACACACACACACACACACACACACACACACACACACACACACACACACACACACCACACACACACACACACACACACACCCACCACACACACACAGTATTATTGTATGAGAGAGGTTCCAGGTTGTGTGTTTAATATTCATGAGAATATTTGTCATTGTTCAAATGATATAAACAAACATATAAAGCATATTTGTCCACCATATGTTGATAAGAGTATTACAAACTTGAAAGATATCCCTCTAAGGTACATTTAGAACAGATAAAAAATGTGCGATTAATTTGCGATTAATCGCGATTAACTATGGACAATCATGCGATTAATCGCGATTAAATATTTTAATCGACTGACAGCCCTAATATATATATGTAGATATATCTATAAATATATATTTTTATATATATGTAGATATATATAAATATATTTTTATATATATGTAGATATATCTATAAATATATATTTTTATATATATGTAGATATATCTATAAATATATATTTTTATATGTAGATATATCTATAAATATATATTTTTATATATATGTAGATATATCTATAAATATATATTTTTATATATATGTAGATATATATATAAATATATATTTTTATATATATGTAGATATATCTATAAATATATATTTTTATATATATGTAGATATATCTATAAATATATATTTTTTACCTTTACATATTTTTATTCCTGCAATCTGTTTACGCTGAGTGTCATCTCCAGTGTGAGTGAGCAGCGCCCCCTGCTGTCCACTGTCACTCATTACAGCATAACAGTGTGAGTGAGCAGCGCCCCCTGCTGTCCACTGTCACTCATTACAGCATAACAGTGTGAGTGAGCAGCGCCCCCTGCTGTCCACTGTCACTCATTACAGCATAACAGCGAAGATCAGTGTAAATGTTTTATTAGTATTTCTTCTTAAATCTTTAATTACTTAAAAAGAGGTAACATGTCAAAGTGAAAAGATTCAAGATTAAGTTGGAGTCTATTTCTTGTGTGAATTTGCATAAATATATTATATTTATATATAATAGTGTAGTTTAAGGACACATTAAAATATATAACCCACCAAGTTGTTATTGTTTATTATCTATATATCCTTATGTGTTTATTGTATAAATGAACATATATTTCCAGTGTGATTCAGTCCTTACTTGTCTCTCCAGTGGTTATATCCCTGCAGACCTGCGATGTCCTCTACTGCTGTCAGGATGTGGTCGAAGGCCTGAACACAAACAATAACATCAGAAACAACACAAACAACAACAACAACAACAACAACAACAATAGGTCAGCAGCCCCACCCTCTCGTGGATCTCCTCGTTGATGGTGGGCTTCCTGTTGGTGGAGCGAGGGACTTTGAGCCAGTTCACCAGAGGCTTGATGGTTAGACCCTGAAACACAGAGAGAGACCAGATTACTGATGAACACTGAAAAACCTGAACACCTGAAACACCTGAACACCTGAACACCTGAACACCTGAACACCTGAACACACCGGAGGCCTGTACTACGAAGCCGGATTTCGCTTAGCCGGCTAACTTCAGGGAAAACTCTGGCTTTCCGGTCCTACGACGCTGGTTCTCTTTTAGCAGGCTAGATCTCCATGGTAACTGATGCTGAGCGGCTAACCTCCTCGGGAGGAGGTTAGGTGGCAGGCTAAGAGATCAACTCAGTGAAAGCACCGCCTGCTGACCAATCAGAGCTCAGTGTGCAGAGTTTAAAGCGATCAAGTCATATTACAGGATAGAGAAAATACAGAAAAACTGCCGTTGCAGGAAAGACGGCCGGCAAAAATCACCTGACTGTGTGAACGTGAACATTAATAGAATATCCCCTCCCATCTTCAGAGCAATCTGACTATTATAACATTAGCGTTAAGAAAGCTTACTTAAATATCTGCCACAACATAAGTAACCGGATCAGAGTAACATTACGTACAGTCCGCGGCACTGTGAGTGCAGACGTCGATGTGTCCCATTATCATTCATATCATATCACATCATAATGTATCATATATCTCCTTATCTGAGTCAGCTGAGCCGTATCTGGCCGTGCAACACTCACAGTGTCACATACTGGATGCAGAAGTATTATTTTAAGCAACACATTAAGTTGACGAAACATTGGAGTCAAATGTAATTAAAGTCAGATCGTGTCTTAGACGGGGCAGTGATATCATAAACCTGTTAATGTACGCATTCAAACACTTTCTCTGTTACCAGCTGTATTCACCTTGCAGGTGCAGCTGTGTGGCTTTGATCCTGGATAAAGTGTTTAAGTCATGGATGTTTAAAGTTTAACTTCTTCATATTTGACTAATATTAAAGTTCACTTTTCATTCAGGAAGTATGACGCTGCGCTGTCAGTACGCTTGTCCATGTTTGTGATTGGTCGAATGCTCCAAACCCCACCCCTTTCATGTGAACGCGCACCTAACTAGATAGGACACGGCTGGCTTGAGCGATCCACTTGATAACCAGCGTCGTAGTACAGCTTAGCGAGAGCGCGTATGTTTTGGATTGGGCCAACCGGCTAACTCAAACATATCCAGGTTAGGTTGAACCAGCTTCGTCGTACAGGCCTCGGAACACCTGAACACCTGAACATCTGAATACCTGAACATCTGAACATCTGAACACCTGAACACCTGAACATCTGAACATCTGAACATCTGAACACCTGAACACCTGAACACCTGAACATCTGAACATCTGAACACCTGAAACACCTGAACATCTGAAACACCTGAACACCTGAACACCTGAACACCTGAACACCTGAAACACCTGAACACCTGAACACCTGAACATCTGAACATCTGAACATCTGAACACCTGAACACCTGAACACCTGACCACCTGAACACCTGAACACCTGAACACCTGAACACCTGAACATCTGAACATCTGAACACCTGAACACCTGAACACCTGAACACCTGAATACCTGAACACCTGAACACCTGAACACCTGAATACCTGAACACCTGAACACCTGAACACCTGAACACCTGAACACCTGAACATCTGAACATCTGAACATCTGAACACCTGAACACCTGAACACCTGAACACCTGAACACCTGAACACCTGAACACCTGAACACCTGAATACCTGAACACCTGAACACCTGAATACCTGAACACCTGAACACCTGAACACCTGAACACCTGAACACCTGAACACCTGAACACCTGAACACCTGAACACCTGAATACCTGAACATCTGAACACCTGAACACCTGAACACCTGAACTCCTGAACACCTGAACACCTGAACATCTGAACATCTGAACACCTGAACACCTGAACATCTGAACACCAGAACACCTGAACACCTGAACATCTGAACACCTGAACACCTGAACACCTGAATACCTGAACATCTGAACACCTGAACACCTGAACACCTGAACACCTGAACACCTGAATACCTGAACATCTGAACACCTGAACACCTGAACTCCTGAACACCTGAACACCTGAACACCTGAACACCAGAACACCTGAACACCTGAACATCTGAACACCTGAACACCTGAACACCTGAACACCTGAACACCTGAACACCTGAACACCTGAACACCTGAACACCTGAATACCTGAATACCTGAACACCTGAACATCTGAACACCTGAACACCTGAACACCTGAAGACCTGAACACCTGAACACCTGAACACCTGAACATCTGAACATCTGAACACCAGAACACCTGAACATCTGAACATCTGAACATCTGAACACCTGAACACCTGAACACCTGAACACCTGAACATCTGAACACCTGAACACCTGAACACCTGAACATCTGAACATCTGAACACCTGAACACCTGAACACCTGAACACCTGAACATCTGAACACCTGAACACCTGAACACCTGAACACCTGAACACCTGAACATCTGAACATCTGAACACCTGAACATCTGAACACCTGAACACCTGAACACCTGAACACCTGAACACCTGAACACCTGAACATCTGAACACCTGAACACCTGAACACCTGAACACCTGGAGATAAAGCAGGAACAGACTTTATAAAAGTAAATACACATATGAACATCTAAAGTAACCCGGTGGTGTGTTAGCCCTCGTATAGGGAGGGGCTTGTCTTGTTGGAATATAAAAACATAAAAGTCATTTAAAAAGTAACGGGGAGTTTTTCCTCGTACCTGAAACATGACGGTGAAGAAGACCACTACGATGGTCGTGGCCACAAAGTATTCCTTAGCCTTCACGTGTTCTCCGTCCAGCAGAACCACCAGAGCGAAGGCCACCGCCCCCCGCAGGCCGCCGTACGACATGACCACCTGATCGATCTTATCCAATGGGACGAGCCGGAACCGGTTCAGAACCCACGTCTGACCAATCACACCTGCACAGAGAGGTCACTAAAGGTCAAACACACCTGCACAGAGAGGTCACTAAAGGTCAAACACACCTGCACAGAGGTCACTAAAGGTCAAACACACCTGCACAGAGAGGTCACTAAAGGTCAAACACACCTGCACAGAGGTCACTAAAGGTCAAACACACCTGCACAGAGAGGTCACTAAAGGTCAATCACACCTGCACAGAGGTCACTAAAGGTCAAACACACCTGCACAGAGAGGTCACTAAAGGTCAATCACACCTGCACAGAGAGGTCACTAAAGGTCAATCACACCTGCACAGAGAGGTCACTAAAGGTCAATCACACCTGCACAGAGGTCACTAAAGGTCAATCACACCTGCACAGAGGTCACTAAAGGTCAATCACACCTGCACAGAGGTCACTAAAGGTCAATCACACCTGCACAAAGAGGTCACTGAATGTCACTAAAGGTCAAACCTGCGGCCCTGAAGACAAAGATGAAGACGAGGGTGCAGGACACCAGGCCCGTGTCCCAGGCCCACTTTGATTTGTCCACGGCGGAGATGCCGAGGAAGATGAAGATGATGGTCTCTGCGATGCTGGCCAGAGTCTTCATCGTGTATTTCACGGTGGTTCTGGACTTCTGGGAGATGTTCGCCTCCACGTATTTATTAGCTCCGATCCCGCAGAACGTCATCCTGAAAGAGAGGAGAGTGCTGACTTAGGACAGGAAGTAGAGACTTACTTAATAATGATGTGTGTTCAGACTGTTGTTGCTGAAGGGTAGAGACTTAAGACCAGACGATGGAGACTTAAGACAGGATTTTAGAGACTTACGACACGAAGGTAGACACTTAGGAATGGGGTTTTAGAGACTTACGAAAGGATGTTAGAGTTTTACGAGAGGAAGTTAAAGAGTTAGGATAGGATGATTGAGACTTACGACTGGATTGGGGGATTTATGACAGGAGAGACTTATGACAGGAGAGACTTATGACAGGAGAGACTTATGACAGGACGGTACAGACTAACGACTGGATTGGGGGACTTATGACAGGAGAGACTTATGACAGGAGAGACTTATGACAGGACGGTACAGACTAACGACTGGATTGGGGGACTTATGACAGGACGGTACAGACTAACGACTGGATTGGGGGACTTATGACAGGACGGTACAGACTAACGACTGGGTTTTTAGAGACTTACAACAGGAAATTATAGATTTAAGAGTGGATGTTGAGACTTACGACAGGATGTTGAGACTTACGACAGGATGTTGAGACTTAAGACATGATGTTGAGACTTAAGACATGATGTTAGAGACTTAAGACAGGAGAGACTTACGACAGGATGTTGAGACTTAAGACGGGATGTTGAGACTTAAGACATGATGTTAGTGTCACGATCTGTCTGTGTTGTGTTTTGTCTTGTCTTTTTCTGTCTCTGGTTCCTGTTTTGTTTTGAAATGTTTCCTCCTTGTGTCTTCTCTGTTCCTTCTTCCTGTGTTTGCCTTCCTGTCTTAGTTTCCCTGGTGTGTCTGATTGTTTGATTGTGTTCACCTGTTGCCCTTGTGTTTCTGCCTCCCTTACCCCAGCTGTGTCTTGTCTTGTGATTACCCCTCTCTGTATTTAGTCTTGTCTTCCCCTGTGTGCCTTGTCAGTTCATTGTCTCTCCTGTCTCCCTCCATGTTGGTCACGGTCAGTTTTTGTAGTACCTATGTGTTTCATGCCATGCTATTGTTCAGCTTTTGGAATAAAGCTCGCTTTTGTTTCTAGACCTTTTTACCTTGTTTTGTAGTCTGCATTTGGGTCCTACCCTTTCCACGCATTCCTAACAGAATGAACCGACCAAATATGGACCCAGCGGATATTGAAGATTTTGAGGTAGATCTGTTCGATCTAGACTTTTCCCTTCAATGTTATTATGCCGAGTGGAGTGGAACCTCGTCCAGAAGGGACAAAGAGGCTATCCTCAAGAAGGCACAGATGGAGGTGTCTAACATGCCATGGCTGAGGAGCTCGTTGCCTGAATGGCTCAGAGTTTTTTCACGTAGCCCCGAGTGCCAGTCTCCATTCTCTGACCCTTTTTTGGGATCCCGTCTGGCGTTTGGAGGTCCACGGAGCCTCCAAAAGACCTCAAAGAAACGCAAGGTCAGGAAGCCAGCTCGTAATCCAGTACCGGCCCACACAGCCATGCTTCCGTGCTCGATTACCTGGCTCACACAGCCAGGGTCCAGGCTTCTGTTCCGTGCCCAGCAGCCATGGTCACTGCTCCAGAACCGGACCTTACAGTCATGTTTCCGTGTTCCAGTGCCGGCCCACACAGTCATGGTACCGTGCTCCAGTACCATCCCACACAGCCATGGTTCCGTGTTCCGGTTCCGTGCCCAGCAGCCATGGTGCCTGCTCCAGTACCGGCCCACACAGCCATGGTTCCAGCCCCAGCAGCCATGGTGCCTGCTCCAGTACCGGCCCACACAGTCATGGTTCCGGCTCCAGAACCGGCCCACACAGCCATGGTTCCAGCCCCAGTTCTGGCCCCAGCAGCCATGGTTCCGGCCCCAGTTTTGGCCCCAGCAGCCATGGTTCCGGCCCCAGTTCTGTCCCCAGCAGCCATGGTTCCGGCCCCAGTTCTGTCCCCAGCAGCCATGGTTCCAGCCCCAGTTCCGGCCCCAGCAGCCATGGTTCCGGCTTCAGTTTCGGCTCCAGTACTGGCTCCCCGGTCGACGCCAGCCCCCCGTGTTTTGTCAGTGGTTCGGCCCACTCCAGCCCCTCGTGTCCTGTCGGTGGTCCGGCCGACTCCAGCGCCTCGTCTCCTGTTGGCTCTCCGGCCGACGCCAGCCCCCCGTGTCCTGTTGGCTCTACGGCCGACGCCAGCCCCCCGTGTCCTGTTGGCTCTACGGCCGACGCCTACCCCATGTCCTGTACCGTTGGAGGTCCCGCCGACTACTCTTCTGCCGGGGGTCCTGCCAACCCTATGTCCTGTGATGTTGGAGGTCCCGCCGACTACTCTTCTGCCGGGGGTCCTGCCAACCCTATGTCCTGTGATGTTGGAGGTCCCGCCGACTACTCTTCTGCCGGGGGTCCTGCCAACCCTATGTCCTGTGATGTTGGAGGTCCCGCCGACTACTCTTCTGCCGGGGGTCCTGCCAACTCCATGTCCTGTCCCATTGGGGGTTCCGCCGACTACTCTTCTGCCGGGGGTCTTGCCAACCCTATGTCCTGTGCCGTTGGGGGTTCCGCTGAGGGTCCTGCCAACTCCACGTCCAGTGTCGTTGGGGGTCCTGCCGACCCCATGTCCTGTCCCGTTGGGGGTCCCGCCGACTACTGCTCCGCCGGGTTTCCTGCCAACACCAGATCCGGTCCTGTTGGGGGTCCCGCCGACACCTGCTCCGCCAGATTTCCTGCCTACACCATATCCTGTCCTGTTGGGGGTCCCGCCGACACCTGTCCTGCCGGGGGTCCTGCCAACTCTGTGTCCTGTCCTGTTGGAGGTCCCGCCGACACCTGTTCCACCGGGGGTCCTGCCAACTCTGTGTCCTGTTCCGTTGGGGGTCCAGTCGACACCAGCCCTTACTCCATCCGGGGTCCCATTGACACCAGCCCATGTCATGTTCAGGACCCCGTCTACGCCTGTCCCGTCGGCTCCGGTTCCTGTCCGGCCGATACTGGGTCCTGCTTGTCCTCCGGAGCTGTCCCGTCAGCGCCTTCCTGCCCGGCCTCCGGAGCTGTCCCGTCGGCGCCTTCCTGCCTGTCCTCCGGAGCTGTCCCGCCAGCGCCTTCCTGCCCGGCCTCCGGAGCTGTCCCGTCAGCGCCTTCCTGCCCGTCCTCCGGAGCTGTCTCGTCGCCGCCTTCTTGTTCGCCCTCGAGCCCAGCCCCCTGAGTGCCGCAGTCTTCGCCCTCGAGCCCGGCCTCCTGAGTTCTCCAGCCGCGGTCTTCGCCCTCGGGCTCGGCCTCCTGAGTTCTCCAGCCGCTGCCTTCGCCCTCGAGCCCGGCCCCCTGAGAGCCGCTGCCTTTGCTCTCATGCCCGGCCCCCTGAGTTCGCCCGCTGTGGCCTTCGCCCCTTTTTGGACTCTGCCTTGCCCCCGGGCCGTCCGCCCGGGACCCCTTCCGGGCCCGTCCTCCGGACCCCCTCCACCCACCCTTTTGGAAATGTTGGACTATGTTTTTTGGGACGTCTGGGATCCGTCCCTTGAGGGGGGGGTTATGTCACGATCTGTCTGTGTTGTGTTTTGTCTTGTCTTTTTCTGTCTCTGGTTTCCTGTTTTGTTTTGAAATGTTTTCCTCCTTGTGTCTTCTCTGTTCCTTCTTCCTGTGTTTGCCTTCCTGTCTTAGTTTCCCTGGTGTGTCTGATTGTGTTCACCTGTTGCCCTTGTGTTTCTGCCTCTCTTACCCCAGCTGTGTCTTGTCTTGTGATTACCCCTCTCTGTATTTAGTCTTGTCTTCCCCAGTGTGCCTTGTCAGTTCATTGTCTCTCCTGTCTCCCTCCATGTTGGTCACGGTCAGTTTCTGTAGTACCTATGTGTTTCATGCCATGCTATTGTTCAGCTTTTGGAATAAAGCTCGCTTTTGTTTCTAGACCTTTTTACCTTGTTTTGTAGTCTGCATTTGGGTCCTACCCTTTCCACGCATTCCTAACAGTTAGAGACTTAAGACAGGAGAGACTTACGACAGGATGTTGAGACTTACGACAGGATGTTGAGACTTAAGACATGATGTTAGAGACTTACGACAGGATGTTGAGACTTAAGACGGGATGTTGAGACTTAAGACATGATGTTAGAGACTTACGACAGGATGTTGAGACTTAAGACGGGATGTTGAGACTTAAGACATGATGTTAGAGACTTAAGACAGGAGAGACTTACGACGGGATGTTGAGACTTATGACAGGATGTTGAGACTTAAGACATGATGTTAGAGACTTAAGACGGGATGTTGAGACTTACGACATGATGTTGAGACTTAAGACATGATGTTAGAGACTTAAGACAGGAGAGACTTACGACAGGATGGCGGACAGGGAGAAGAGCTCGGCTGTGAGGTAGGCGAGGTAGACGAGCAGGAAGACGAAGAGCGGCTCGATGATCCGGACCTTCTTAGTGAAACGAGTGAGGAAGCTGAGCAGAACGGCGAAGACCAGACCAACCAGAGTCCCTCCAACACTGACGATGAGGAAGGAGGCTGAGGAAGAGGAGGAGGAAGAGGAGGAAGATAAACATTATAAGATCATAATGCCAAACTCACTTTTACAACTTCAATGTTTTATAAGTTCTTATTCCCTGAACTCACCGACTCCTTTAAAGTAATCCACCGTCTGGACGTTCTCCACCCCGACCTCCACGAAGGAGATGTACACTTTATATAAAACCTGAGACACAGAAACACGACGGATTCAAAACAGAAACTGAGTCTCAAACCTGCCGGACGGAATGTGGACTTTAAACCAAATAAGGTTAAAAAACAAACTTGAGGAACCGATAAAAGAGAATATTTCAAATATTTGTGTCAGAAAATTAAAGAAAAGGTTTCCCTTTTTGGACATCATTTATTTACGTCTAATAAAAACTTTATACAAGATTAAGCAGAAACTCTGACGGTGAGTTTCCTGTACACAATGACTCAGCAGAAACTCTGACGGTGAGTTTCCTGTACACAATGACTCAGCAGAAACTCTGACGGTGAGTTTCCTGTACACAATGACTCAGCAGAAACTCTGAAGGAGAGTTTCCTGTACACAATGACTCAGCAGAAACTCTGACGGTGAGTTTCCTGTACACAATGACTCAGCAGAAACTCTGACGGTGAGTTTCCTGTACACAATGACTCAGCAGAAACTCTGACGGTGAGTTTCCTGTACACAATGACTCAGCAGAAACTCTGAAGGAGAGTTTCCTGTACACAATGACTCAGCAGAAACTCTGACGGTGAGTTTCCTGTACACAATGACTCAGCAGAAAGCAGAAAGGATCCTGGGAAACTTCTGCTCTCGCTCTTTGTTCACTTTGGGATTAGTTTTTACTCCGAGTGCTGCTGAGGATTAGAGCTGCAGTTAATCTGCAGAAATCCATCTGTAGTTCACCAGAGGCTGTTCTCTGCTGAGTCTACAGGAGGTAGTGCACGTCAACGAGTCTAAAGGAGGTAGTGCACGTCAACGGTCTAAAGGAGGTAGTGCACGTCAACGAGTCTACAGGAGGTAGTGCACGTCAACGAGTCTAAAGGAGGTAGTGCACGTCAACGAGGTCTAACAGGAGGTAGTGCACGTCAAACAGAGTCTACAGGAGGTAGTGCACGTCAACAAGTCTACAGGAGGTAGTGCACGTCAACAAGTCTACAGGAGGTAGTGCACGTCAAACGAGTCTACAGGAGGTAGTGCACGTCAAACGAGTCTACAGGAGGTAGTGCACGTCAACGAGTCTACAGGAGGTAGTGCACGTCAAACGAGTCTACAGGAGGTAGTGCACGTCAAACGAGTCTACAGGAGGTAGTGCACGTCAACAGTCTACAGGAGGTAGTGCACGTCAAACGAGTCTACAGGAGGTAGTGCACGTCAACAAGTCTACAGGAGGTAGTGGCACGTCAAACGAGTCTACAGGGAGGTAGTGCACGTCAAACGAGTCTACAGGAGGTAGTGCACGTCAACAAGTCTACAGGAGGTAGTGCACGTCAAACGAGTCTACAGGAGGTAGTGCACGTCAAACGAGTCTACAGGAGGTAGTGCACGTCAAACGAGTCTACAGGAGGTAGTGCACGTCAAACGAGTCTACAGGAGGTAGTGCACGTCAAACGAGTCTACAGGAGGTAGTGCACGTCAAACGAGTCTACAGGAGGGTAGTGCACGTCAACGAGTCTACAGGAGGTAGTGCACGTCAAACGAGTCTACAGGAGGTAGTGCACGTCAACGAGTCTACAGGAGGTAGTGCACGTCAAACGAGTCTACAGGAGGTAGTGCACGTCAAACGAGTCTACAGGAGGTAGTGCACGTCAAACGAGTCTACAGGAGGTAGTGCACGTCAACGAGTCTACAGGAGGTAGTGCACGTCAAACGAGTCTACAGGAGGTAGTGCACGTCAACGAGTCTACAGGAGGTAGTGCACGTCAAACGAGTCTACAGGAGGTAGTGCACGTCAAACGAGTCTACAGGAGGTAGTGCACGTCAAACGAGTCTACAGGAGGTAGTGCACGTCAACGAGTCTACAGGTAGAAAAATATACATGTTGAAATTCAAATTTACAGTAACAATAAAACTAATTAAACACACGTTTAAACACCAACGTGTGAGTGTGTGTGTGTGTGTGTGTGTGTCGCTCACCACGGTGACGGCGTCGTTGACCAGCGACTCTCCGAACACGATGATGAACAGCGTGTCGTTGACGTGAACCTCTTCGAACACGGCGAGCACTGCGACCGGATCCACCGCCGAGATCAGAGCGCCGAAGAGCAGGAAGTCCATAAGCCCCGCCTCCACACGCTCATCTACACACACACACACACACACACACACACACACACACACGTTCTTTAAATGTGTTGAAACTTGAATGAAACGTTGTCTTAAGCTTTTGTTCTGCAAACTCTATCCACACTTAATTACATGTTTTGTCTTAACTTTCTCCAAGTTGTGTCGAAGCTTTCTTTAAACTCCTCTCTAATGATCTCTGCAGAGTTACTAACCTGAAGCTTTCTTTAAACTCCTCTCTGATCTCTGCAGAGTTACTAACCTGAAGCTTTCTTTAAACTCCTCTCTAATGATCTCTGCAGAGTTACTAACCTGAAGCTTTCTTTAAACTCCTCTCTGATGATCTCTGCAGAGTTACTAACCTGAAGCTGATCCAACAGCATCATCATGAACCTGTTTCCTCTGTTTCAGAGAAACTTTACAACTCTCACGGTCCGGAGCTCAGGAGGGCGCTCTTCTCCCTCAAACAGCTGTTCCAGGTAACATAGAGTAACGTAATGTAACGTAATGTAACGTATAGTAACATAATGTAACATATAGTAACATAATGTAACGTATAGTAACGTATAGTAACATAATGTAACGTATAGTAACATAATGTAATGTATAGTAACGTATAGTAACATAATGTAACGTATAGTAACATAATGTAATGTATAGTAACGTATAGTAACATAATGTAACGTATAGTAACGTATAGTAACGTATAGTAACATAATGTAATGTATAGTAACGTATAGTAACATAATGTAACGTATAGTAACGTATAGTAACATAGAGTAACGTAATGTAACGTATAGTAACGTATAGTAACATAATGTAACGTATAGTAACGTATAGTAACATAATGTAACGTAACGTATAGTAACATAATGTAACGTATTGTAACGTATAGTAACATAATGTAACGTATAGTAACATAATGTAACGTATAGTAACGTATAGTAACATAATGTAACGTATTGTAACGTATAGTAACATAATGTAACGTATAGTAACATAATGTAACGTATAGTAACGTATAGTAAACGTAATGTAACGTATAGTAACGTATAGTAACATAATGTAACGTATTGTAACGTATAGTAACGTATAGTAACATAATGTAACGTATTGTAACGTATAGTAACATAATGTAACGTATAGTAACGTATAGTAAACGTAATGTAACGTATAGTAACGTATAGTAACATAATGTAACGTATAGTAACGTATAGTAACATAATGTAACGTATAGTAACGTATAGTAACATAATGTAACGTATAGTAACATAATGTAACGTATAGTAACATAATGTAATGTATAGTAACGTATAGTAACATAATGTAACGTATAGTAACGTATAGTAACGTATAGTAACATAATATAACGTATAGTAACGTATAGTAACATAATGTAACGTATAGTAACATAATGTAACGTATAGTAACATAATGTAATGTATAGTAACGTATAGTAACATAATGTAACGTATAGTAACGTATAGTAACATAATGTAATGTATAGTAACGTATAGTAACATAATGTAACGTATAGTAACGTATAGTAACATAGAGTAACGTAATGTAACGTATAGTAACGTATAGTAACATAATGTAACGTATAGTAACGTATAGTAACATAATGTAACGTAACGTATAGTAACATAATGTAACGTATTGTAACGTATAGTAACATAATGTAACGTATAGTAACATAATGTAACGTATAGTAACGTATAGTAACATAATGTAACGTATTGTAACGTATAGTAACATAATGTAACGTATAGTAACATAATGTAACGTATAGTAACGTATAGTAAACGTAATGTAACGTATAGTAACATAATGTAGCGTATTGTAACGTATAGTAACGTATAGTAACATAATGTAACGTATTGTAACGTATAGTAACGTATAGTAAACGTAATGTAACGTATAGTAACGTATAGTAACATAATGTAACGTATAGTAACGTATAGTAACATAATGTAACGTATAGTAACGTATAGTAACATAATGTAACGTATAGTAACGTATAGTAACATAATGTAACGTATAGTAACGTAATGTAACGTATAGTAACGTATAGTAACATAATGTAACGTATAGTAACGTATAGTAGTAACATAGAGTAACGTAATGTAACGTATAGTAAGGTATAGTAACGTAATGTAAGGTATAGTAACGTAATGTAAGGTATAGTAACGTAATGTAAGGTATAGTAACGTAATGTAACGTATAGTAACGTAATGTAACGTGTCTGACCCCCAGACACTGACCTATGACCCCCAGATGACCACAGACACTGAACTATGACCCCCAGACACTGACTTTTGACCCCCAGATGACCCCAGACACTGACCTATGACCCCCAGACACTGACCTTTGACCCCCAGATGACCCCCAGACACTGACCTATGACCCCCAGCAGCTTGGCGGCGTACAAGCAGAACCCGGTGCAGAAGGCGTTCCACAGCGTTCCCACCACGGCGTACAGCAAGATGGCGCCCAGGTTGTCGAAGAAGAGTCTCGCCGGCATGAAGTATCCGGCATCTCCAACGATGGTGGGCAGCAGGAAGAGGAAGAAGAGGGCGGGCTCTAGCTGGTACAGCTGCTTCTTATTGGCTAACAGGACCACGCCCCCCAGCACCAGGCCCAATAGGATCAGCATGCAGCTCTCAGGAACCACCGTGGTGAAGCGCTGCGAGAAGTGGAACACTGGGGGGGGACATGGATGAATGAATACACATCAGTGATTCATGAATCCATCTCATCCACTGTGAAGCTGATCTGATCTTTGAGGCAGGAATATGGAGCTCCTTTATCCAAAGAAAGAAAGAGAAAGCAACGACTCCAACAGATCAAATCTCTGCTTGGGCTGTTTCCCTCTTATGTTTGCACGTAAATGGGTAAAAAACACATTCTATATGGCCTACGCTCCTAAGATATTATTCAGATGCTGGTTCCTAAAGTGAGAACAGAACTAGGGAAAAAAGCTTTTAGATATGCTGCCTCTTCTGCCTGGAATAATGAAGGAGCTGAAGCTCTCAGATGTTATCACTACGGGGGATTAAAGTCCATCTAAAAGGACAGAGAACAAGAAACCATTGGTCGATGTGATTGCTCTTATATCCCATAATTGAAGTCGTTTTAAAATTGCCCCAGATTTTCTGGCATCACTTTAAAGGTCCCATGTCATGGCCATTTCTACTGATCATAATTCCATTGTTGAGGTATACTAAAATATATTTAAATTGTTCAATGTTCCAAACTCACATTGGTTTCTCATACAGCATCTCTGTAAAGTGTGTGTATTCACTCTCTGTCCTAAACGGCTTGTTGGAGCTCCTGCCCCCCCCCTCCCTATGAGCCCAGTGGCCGTCTGCGAGACAGCGAGACACAGCGAAACCCAGCCCGAAGCCAGCCCGAAACCAGCCCAAAACCAGCCCGAACACACACACACACACACACCCGCAGCCTGGCTGGGAGTTTGTGTGTGCTCACACAGCGACTCACAGCCTCGCCGCGTACCGCCGTCTCAGGGAGGAGAAATCGGCGGAGCTGCAGCTGAGAAAAGATTGAGTGTGTGTGTGTGAGTAACGGCTCCACGGATTGGTCCATTTGGACCAATGGGTCCATTTGGGTATGGGCACGTCACTGTACCCAGGAAGAAAACTATGGAAAAAGAGAAATGTCCAACGAGGCGTTCTGGGGCAGCATAGACAGGTCTTTTCTGTGTTCGAGTTTTACTCGCTACAGGGTGCACTTTGAGGGTTCAAGGTTCAAGGTTCAAGGTTCTTTATTGTCAATCTGACATAGCTACAGAGTAATTATGCAGTTGAAAATCTTATGTCACAGGCTTCTCCAACAATGCAACATAATAACATAACATAATAACAATAAGAGCAAGAGCAATACAAAAATAATAATAGTTATAAAAATGAAATAAAGTTATGATGTGGAATAGTGCAGTATGAGTCTATATACAAGTTATTGGAATGATATATATATATTAGGTATTAGATACATACTACTGAGTAGCAGTTGAATGTTTGATGTTGTTTCAACAGTTCAATTGTTTAACAGTCTCACTGCCCGCGGGAAGAAACTGTCTCCGAATCTTCTTGTCCTTGCCAGGATGCTGCGGTAACGTCTGCCAGACGGCAACAGAAAGAACAGTTTGTGGCTGGGGTGATGGGGGTCTTTGATAATCCGTAGTGATTTCTTCCTGAGCCGCTGGGAGTAAAGGTCCTCCATGGATGGCAGCTCCGTCCTGGTGATGTGCTGTGCAGTTTTCACCACCCTCTGTAAAGCCTTACGATCGAGGTCGGTGCAGCTGCCGTACCAGGCCGTCATGCTGCCAGTCAGGATACTCTCTATGGTGCACCTGTAGAAGTTGCAGAGTATCCTGGAATCCATTTTGAACCTCCTCAACCTGCGGAGGAAGAAGAGCCGCTGTCGAGCTTTCTTGGTGATGGTGGTGGTGTGAAGAGACCATGTCAGGTCCTCAGAGAAGAGTCCATGTCAGGTCCTCAGTGATGTGGACCCCAAGGAACCTGAAGCTGCTGACTCTCTCCACCGTAGTCCCATTGATGGCGATGGGGGCGTGTCCCTCTCCCTGCTGCTTCCTGTAGTCCACAATCAGCTCCTTTGTTTTGCTGATGTTGAGATGGAGGTTGTTCTCCTGGCACCAAGATGTCAGGTTTTCGACCTCCTCTCTGTATGCCGTCTCGTCATCGTCTGTGATCTGGCCGATGACGGTCGTGTCATCAGCAAACTTCACGATGGTGTTGGAGCTGTGTGTGGCCACGCAGTCGTGGGTGAACAGGGAGTAGAGGAGAGGGCTGAGCACGCAGCCTTGAGGGGCACCGGTGTTAAGAATCAGGGTGGAGGATGTGATGTTTCCCACCCGCACTGCCTGGGGTCTGCCCGTCAGGAAGTTCAGGATCCAGTCACAGAGGGCGCTGTTGAGCCCGAGGTCTCTGAGCTTGATGGCCAGCTTGGAGGGCACAATGGTGTTGAATGCTGAACTGTAGTCAATGAACAGCATTCTCACATATGTGTTCCTCTTCTTCGGGTCCAGGTGTGAGAGGGCAGTGTGGAGGGTGAGGGCTATGGCGTCGTCTGTGGACCTGTTTGCTCTGTAGGCAAACTGCAGGGGGTCCAGAGATTCAGGGAGGGAGGAGGTGATGAATAATTTGACTAACCGCTCAAAGCACTTCATTATGATGGAGGTGAGTGCTACTGGGCGGTAGTCGTTGGGGCAGGTGATGATTGTCTTTTTGGGGACAGGAATGATGGTGGAGTGTTTAAGACATGTGGGGACTACAGACTGCAGCAGGGACCTGTTGAAGATGTCTGTGAACACCTCTGCCAGCTGAACTGCACACACCCTGAGAACACGGCCAGGGATGCCATCAGGTCCAGGAGCCTTGTGTGGGTTAACCCTTTTAAAGGATTTACACACATCTGCCCTATTTAAAACAAAAGGGCAGTGTAGCTCCTGGTCCCTCTGTACCTCCACAGCCTGGCTGCTCTCAAAGCGTGCAAAAAAACTGTTTAGCTCATCTGGGAGAGATGCGCACGCAGACACTCCCGCAGCACCCCCCGCTGCTCCTTTGTAGTCAGTCATTGTCCTTAGTCCCGCCCACATATTCCTAGTGTTACAGCCTTTGAAGTCAGATTCCACCTTCTCTTTGTACTGTCTCTTTGCATTTTTTATTGCTCTCCGGAGATCATACCTAGACTTCCTGTACTCCTCCAAATCTCCCGCTGTGTGCGCGAGAGTGCGCGCTTTCAGTTTGCCGCGCACCTCACCGTTTACCCAGGGCTTTTGATTTGGGAATGTCCGTACAGAAACCTTCGGTACCACGTCATCGATGCATTTCCCAATGTAGCAGATGACAGTGTCCGTGTGTGTGTTGATGTTATTGTCCTCAAACACACTCCAATCCGTAGATGCAAAGCAATCCTGCAGTGCTGAATCTGACTCCTCGCTCCATCGTTGTACTGTCCTTGTTATCGGTCTGTCCCTTTTAAGTTTCTGCTTGTAAGCAGGCAACAACAGTAGTGAGATATGGTCTGATTTGCCGAAGGGAGGGCGAGGGAGAGCCTTATATCCATTCCGGAAAGGGGAATAAACATGGTCCAGTATGTTTCCCCCGCGCGTCGGGAAGTTCACATAGCTCACATAATTAACCTCTCCATAAAACAGGGAAAAGTACCCAAAGACTTCAAAATTGCAAGAGTAACCCCCCTGCACAAAAAGGGCAGCAAATTGGACCCAGGCAACTACCGCCCTGTTTCTATACTTACCTCCATCTCGAAAGTCATGGAAAAAATAGTATATGAACAGGTCGAAAAGTACCTCGCAGAAAAGAAACTAATCTATGAATTTCAATCTGGCTTTAGAACATCCCACTCCACTGACACATGCCTTCTTTATTTGAACGACCACATCAAACAAGAGGTGGACGAGGGTAAATACTGCGGCATGGTGATGCTGGACCTACAAAAGGCTTTCGACACTGTCAATCACCCCATTCTGATTGACAAGCTAAAAGCAATTGGTTTTGATAAACTATCGGTGAGCTGGATGCAATCCTACCTGGAGGGGAGAGAACAGATGGTGGAGGTAAACGGTACTCTGTCCCCCCCCCTCCCAGTGAGCTGTGGTGTTCCACAAGGAAGCATATTAGGTCCGTTACTGTTCCTAATTTATGCAAATGACATGTCATCAGCATGTGACTGCAACTTGTTCCTGTTGGCGGACGACTCAGCCCTGCTGGTCTCTGACAGGAGCAGATTGCAGGTTGAAAAAACCCTCAGCTCCGAGCTCGGCAGAATCTGCACCTGGCTCGCCGATAATAAATGATCATTACACCTGGGTAAAACAGAGTCCATTCTCTTCGGTTCGAAACATAATCTCAGCAAATCCGACGACTTCTCAGTTGCAGTGGGTGACATTATTGTCACAAGTAAGAAGGAAATTACATACCTAGGATCTATTCTTGAGGCAAACCTCTCCTGTGACAAAATGGCATCCAATGTAATAAAAAAAGTCAATCAAAGAACTAGATTCCTATACCGGATCTCCTCTCTGGTAAACACAAGCACCCTGAGAACTCTGGCAGGAGCACTCATTCAAGGGTACTATGACTATGCTTGCACGTCATGGTACCATAGCACCTCCAAGGCGCTAAAAATAAAACTTCAAACATCGCAAAATAAACTGGTCAGACTACTGCTTGACCTTTCATCTAGAACCCACCTCACCTCTGCCCACTTTGACAACCTAGGATGGCTTAAAGTAGACGACAGAGTACAGCTACTTGCAATGGGCCTGGTCTACAAGATCCACTACACCTCTATGGTACCCATGTACATGTCAAAATTCTTCCCAAAGGTCAAGGAATACCATGATCATAACACCAGAGGGAGCTCCACAAATCATGTAAAACCCAGATTTGGCACAAAAAAAGGGGAATACACGTTTCGCAATTATGCCACATCAAGGTGGAACGCTCTTCCCACAACTGTAAAGGAAAGTAAAACTATACTTACCTTCAAAACCTCTCTTAAAGAGCACCTTCGGGGGAAAGCATTGCAAAACTGGCCCCGGTAATGGTACAAATCTCAACCTGTCGTACAATGGACAGCTTCCCCCCCCCATCTATGTATATACTCGCATTTTAGACTCTGTTACTAACTGTATATCT